TGCGAGGTCTCCTGGTGTATTTCTTAACGACATGTGTATACCTTTGATGTAGTGGTGCAAGGTCCCTTGGTGTATTTCTTAACGACATGTGTATACCTTTGATGGAGTGGTGCGAGGTCTCCTGGTGTATTTCTTAACGACATGTGTATACCTTTGATGTAGTGGTGCAAGGTCCCTTGGTGTATTTCTTAACGACATGTGTATACCTTTGATGGAGTGGTGCGAGGTCTCCTGGTGTATTTCTTAACGACATGTGTATACCTTTGATGTAGTGGTGCAAGGTCCCTTGGTGTATTTCTTAACGACATGTGTATACCTTTGATGGAGTGGTGCGAGGTCTCCTGGTGTATTTCTTAACGACATGTGTATACCTTTGATGTAGTGGTGCAAGGTCCCTTGGTGTATTTCTTAACGACATGTGTATACCTTTGATGGAGTGGTGCGAGGTCTCCTGGTGTATTTCTTAACGACATGTGTATACCTTTGATGTAGTGGTGCAAGGTCCCTTGGTGTATTTCTTAACGACATGTGTATACCTTTGATGGAGTGGTGCGAGGTCTCCTGGTGTATTTCTTAACGACATGTGTATACCTTTGATGTAGTGGTGCGAGGTACCCTGGTGTATTTCTTAACAACAGTTTATACCTTTGATGTAGTGGTGCGAGGTACCCTGGTGTATTTCTTAACGACATGTTTATACCTTTGATGTAGTGGTGCAAGGTCCCCTGGTGTATTTCTTAACGACATGTGTATACCTTTGATGTAGTGGTACGAGGTCGTGATCCTAGTGCAGTCGCAGTGTTAGCAGAAGATGGAGCTGCAGTAGCAGGACTGTTGATTGCTGCATCATGTCTAGGACTGACGTCATACACTGGAAATGGTGTCTATGATGCTATTGGATCTATAGCCATTGGAGGTACTCGCTCAATGTATTTATATATACTCAGTTTAAATACACGTCTAGTCTAAATACACGCGTAAGCTATTCATAATCCTTGAAGTTATGTATGTAATCGAATAAGCACGCGTAAAGTGGTTGCATTTCAAATTTCGCCATTAAATGCAGCGAAATTGTAGCATTGCACTATTCACTGACACTTAAACAAAACTTTGTGGCTTTCTTTGTGTTTGGTGTCTAGCTTCATGTCCTATAAAATTTAAAACTTTGTTCGTCTGTAGCTGGAGCGTTTGTTTTTGTCCGGCGGAGCTGAGCAACCACCACCTCCGGAGTATATGCTAAAATGTTTTATTCTTTTTATCAATTTTCATTTTAAATTTTGGAAATTTAAAACACTCTAACTTATAATCTAACTTTTAAAACAATCTAACTTATAAATAAATTTATATTATATTCTATTGTATTGTATAATTGCATTATTTTACAACTTCAAAATATTTGTATACGGCGTATTCACCCAATAATCTCTATAATTCCCACACAATTGTGATTTTTCCAGTCTTATTAATTAGTGTATTATTAAATTTTGTTCAGGTTTGTTAGGCTCTGTAGCGACATTTTTAATAAGAAGAAATGCTAATTTCTTAGTCGGCAGGTATGAGAAATCGTAATTTTTATGTTTGCTATTTTATTTTTTTAAATCAGTTTGAACATTAATCTAATATGGATAAAAATAGCAAGGTAATGGCAGATGTATAGATAGATAGATAGAAACTTTTATTTAAACACGCTAACCATTGTCAACCTAGGCTGATTTCCACAAGGGGCGTGTACAATAATAAAATTACAAAGATATAGTATATAGTAAGATATTACATACAGTAAGAAATATATATATATACATATATATATATATATATATATATATATATATATATATATATATATATATATATATATATATATATATATATATATATATATATATATATATATATATATATATATACATAATTATATAAGTATAAGAATAATAATGCTATTCAAAAATGTGAGTATTCAAAAATGTGAGTAGCGATTTTAGTTTCAAAGGACATGATGGAGTTGCTCTCTCTAATTTTGGTTGGTAAGGAATTCCAAATGTGTGCCCCGTCAAACATGAAACTTTTTTCAAGCTATTTGTACGCGGCTGTGGTAAGCAAAGAGTACTTTCCACATCTCGAAGTTTATAATTTGTCATTTCACTTTTGAAAGTAAATAAATCAGTAAGTGATTTAGGACCCATTTTATTCAACAATTTAAACATCAGTTTGAACTTAGCCTTTATTCTTTCCGTTTTAAGTGGCTTCCAGTCTAAAGCATCTAAAGCAACCAGATGATCTACATCGTTGCTCATATTCATTATGATTCGAGCAGCTCTGTTTTGGAGCTTTTGGAGGCGTTTTGATTGTGTTTCACCCAAACACATCCCATACTTCACAGCAATATGTAAAGTATGGGCGAACAATAGAATTATACACAGAGACAAGTGTATCTTTCTCAACAAATTCTTTTATTTGACGAAGAGCTGATATCCCGGATGTTATTTTCTTGCAAATTGTTTCAGTATTATTCTTCCAAGACAAATGCTGGTCAACAGTCACTCCAAGAGTTTTGCAATCATATACTTGTTTAATTGGTTTGTTTTCTATGATAATGTTTGGTTGTCTATTTGAGATACTTATGTATGTTGTACTACACATGTGGACTCACTTGCATTTGAAGGAAGCCATGATGTCACATAACGTCACACGTTAATGGCGCCATCATGATCGTTGCTCTGATTTGACCACTCTTGTTTGCACATTTATATAAGTTTATTATTACATTTTAAATCTCCTTAATATTTGGATTGATTAAAAAAACCCTGTTTAACCCCGCTCCTCCCTTGACGAGTAAAATCATCTTCCATTAGACAGAATATAATAATAAATTAGGGTGCATACGGTATATGTTGTTGTAAATATTTGAATTGATGACATTACAGGTCAATACCAGAAGATAGGTTGAAACAAATCATGGATGTATTGGAACAAGATATTATGGTCAGGTAATGCGATAACATTTTATATTATTATATAGAACTTTAGAGAACGTTCAGTGAAAGGATTAATTAAGATGTGGATTATAAGCGTAGTATGAATTGTTTGTTACAAAATCTAGTCAGAGTTTTTCGTGCTCTCTCATCCTCCTTTTAAATACGATGCGGCTTGGACATGTATTGAAGCCGACAAACTTTTATGATTTACGCAAATATAGGGTAAAATAAATATAATCCCAAATGTTATTGGAGAAGGACCTTATTTTTTCTTCATTGTAAATTTTGTTATTTATAGATCTATTCATGACGTGAAAGCGACAGAATTAGGTAATATATACTCATCGTAGCAGCTGTGATCTGGATTGACAAAATCTCAACTTGTAGTTTAATCTTAAGAAATTACAGGATAAAACTATACCAGCCAAGTAGATCGGTTTTTATAGATGTACAGTAATGTTCCAACGTAAATTTATGCATTTTAGTCCTAAGCAGGAGCAGTTGCGCAAAATGCAGGTAGGAGTCCTGCGACTCCGCTGCAACTCTGTTGTAGCTCAGTTGGTTAGAACGCTGACCAGAATTGTAGGGCCGCAACTTCCATTCCTGCCAGAGGACGAATACACGGGTAAAAATTGATCAGGTTGTTCGGCGTTGTTCAAACAGGAGTGAACAATGTTGTGCTGCACCCCGTGAACAATATTGTTAACAAGTTGTTCAACCATCAGTACTGTTGCAAGTTGTTAACATGATTGTCAACAAGTTGCAACAATGTTGATGGTTCAACAACTTGTTAACAATATTGTTCATGGGGTGCAGCACAACATTGTTCGCTCCTGTTTTGAACAACTTGCATCAACATGATGATTTTTACGCGTGTAGTTGCATTTTTCGCAACTGCTCCTGGTTAGGTGAGTGTATAATACTTGATGTAAATCATTTGATCATATCATGCACATGTACATTTGCCCTATAGAATGTTGATCTTGATCAGTGCTGGAAAATGTCCGGCAGCGCCAGCAGCACCGCTGCCAGGAAATATTTGACAAAATATTTTCCCAGGAAATTTTCTTACACCTTGCAGGAAATTCCTGTCATCTTATAAACTGAAATGCCATATAATTTACTTATTGTTTAAAAAGTCCAAAAGCATTTTGCAAGACGAGTTTGTCTTGTGCTGAGATCAAAGTTTATCGCATGTGCGACACCATCCGTTCTCTGCAATTTACGATGCAGCAAGTCTTATAATTGACTTTATTTTTGGATTTTGCTGCCAGGAAGACAAATATATTTTCTAGGCCTGATCTTGATCTTAATTTCCTTTGTTTTTTTGGTCACAGGAGCTGATACAGTGAGATTCAAAGCTGAAATCAATTTTGATGGCAGGGAAATAACCAGACGACATTTAAGTAGGAAGGAAACAGCTCAGTTACTAAAGGTACGGAGGCTGGGTATACAAACCTGGACGATGAATGCTCAATAAATGTCTAAGAAATATTCATGGTAGTTTGGCAGGGCTCAAAATAGAGGTTAAGATAGACACTACCACTCACTTTCTTAGTACGCATCTGATTGGCTAATCGGATATACCAAACGCATCTGATTGGTTAATGGTCTCTTAATGGTAGCGGTAGTAATGACCGGTCAACGGTCAATGACCAGCCACATGATGACGTCACATGGTGACTGCAGGTGCGGTAATTCAAATTTTGTAGTCGTACCTCAGTTGTACCGTCCAATGAGTATTGCCTCTTATTTGAATTGGTACAAATGTAAGACTCCAGGTGTACTTACAGTCTTTAAAATGAAGTACATAAAGCACAGGTTTCTGAAAAGTTTCATTTAACCTGAAACTGCGGGTTAAAACACGAAGCATAATTGCATTTACAAACTCTACAATTGACTTTTTAGTTTTATCAGTCTAATTATGTTTCATGCCAAGCGGACATGTCAGACATACACATACGACTTTTAAGTAATTAGAATTACGGTTTGGAATACCTTTGGGCTTGGAAAGGTCAAATGGTACCAGCAAAAAGTAAGTACGCAGATAGCAAAAGTTCCGCGTACCTATTCCTTGAGTACTTGGCTGAATTACCAACCAGACCGCAATTTATCGCACCCTGAACTGGTCACACATTTTCACTGTGGGAACGAGACTGACTTTTGAGATGTTGTGGACCGTTAAATATTATGTCAATTCGTTCCGATTTTCTTGGGGGGTTTTTCGAAGCATGGGAGTTGGCCGGCAGGGGTGGAAAAATTGAGGGGAGCACGCGAGCACTGCTCGCAGGAAATGTTTAAAAACAGCTGCAGGAAATTCGTTTCAATGAAAATTTGAAGGAAACCTTAACACCCATCCCCACTATGGACGCAACAACATATGGTTGACAGACATTATTCCTTGAATTTAAAACCATGGTCAGCTAGAACACTATATGTTTATGCACATGCAGACTTAGCACAAAATACTCCGCTGATCTGCAGGAAATTTTTGTCTCCGGTTGTGCTTCCAGGAAGAAAATTCTTTTTTCCTGCTCTGTTGGCCGGTCAGAAGTCGCGTTTGACCGCGGTCATATAGACTGTATGGTGTTGTGGTTTACTATATGTAAACACGGGTGCAAGATACGGTTAGATTGCTAGCGCTAGCCCTGGGTAAAATTTTCTTTTTTTCTCTTAACGATCATATTAAATTGAAAAAACATAAAAGTATATGTTTGGAGGAATGTACACCAGGCCTGACAATCTGTCATCTCATATTAAATCCATCCATTTAACAATCTAATATGACAAATACACGACACATATTTCAGTCTGTTTATTTCAAAAGTCAGAAGCAATGAAGCATATGTGTTTGATTGAGACAAGCCATGTTCATAAAGAAGCTGTTGGGAAGATTGCTTTGAAAAATTTGTTAACCTGGGATAATAGGCTTTCGATCAACCGCCCCCTGGTCAGTATTTACAACTTATAGCTGGGTTGCTTTTACAGTTCATAAACATATTTGAAACATACACCCACTATGAACTCAATTTTTTACGCCATATACAAAAGCTTTTTCGAAGCTGGGAGTTGATCACGGGCTACAAGTGAAAATGATCTGTTTTGTCGTCTCTTAGGAAGTGCGGGATATCCAGACGCCTGAGGAACTTGAGAGGTTCTTGATGGATCATGGGGAACAAATCATTGATACATTAGGACAAGAAGTTGACAGAATTGAGAGAAATATTAAGGTGAGAGTGTGTAGTCTTATAGTGTTGTTAGTGTCGGCAAAATTGTCAGAAAATCTATTACGGTCGATTGCCTCTGTCAACTTAGTGTCGAGTACATTGGACAGGTTTTAATCTGAACAGCATAACTAGCTCAACGTTGATTGGCTGAACTGACTGAAGCCTTCACATGATTAATACGAATATTGAACGTGAGCGTACACAATGATTGTATCTCCAACTGTTCATTGGTTGATGTAAACAAAGACAACTATGGTAAATGTGAGTTGCCAAAAGTATAGCCTGCGTGGCAGACGGCCAGCCCGTCGCGGAACACCTGAAAGGTGGGCGAGGAAGGAGAAGACCTTTCCCGCCTGACCGTCTGCCACGCAGGTTACCAAAATTGCTACCAAAAAACAAGTTAATATTTTTTTTCAGAATAAAAATCCTGAAGTACGCCATGTTGATCTTGAGATTCTATGAATCGTGATGAAATAATTTAAGGAATGCATCACGAAGTTACTGAACTCATTTTATATCCGTTTTAAAATTATATTTGTTGAGATGTCTAATTAGTAATTTATTTAATAAATATATCCATTATGTATGTGTTTGTATCTTTTCTTTGTGTTCACTGTATTATGGATTAATTTGACTTTTAAAGAAGCGTTTATTAATGAGCGCTGCTTAATATTGGACACAAATTGTCTTGTCAGTCTTGTGTAAAGTATTCTGAGCTCGTCCAGCAAAATTCTCACAAACGATCACCATATAGGGTGAATATTACTCTAATAAATTGCCACAGGAGGTTCAACGTCGGAAGTTGCAGCAGGATGGTACCACGTCCAAGGCCCTAGCTCGTTTGCAATTTACGCAAACAGATTAGGTCCTCAGTATGCGGGTAAAGACCTACCTAAAATGATCATGTTTTGTCATTGGCTTTCAGAAACAAATCAGAAACAAAAATGATCATTGTTCGTGAAGACGATTTCTATAGTTTTATTGTCTTTCATTGTTATAATCAACCAACCACGAGCCTGGATAGTAATAGGTAGATGAGAGAGTTCTAGAGTCTCAGTATGATTAGAGAGTTTTAGGGTCTCAGTATGATAAGAGAGTTCTAGGGTCTCAGACAGTATGATAAGAGAGTTCTAGGGTTTCAGTATGATAAGAGAGTTCTAGGGTTTCAGTATGATAACTAAGAGAGTTCTAGGGTTTCAGTATAAGAGAGTTCTACGGTCTCAGTATGATAAGAGAGTTCTAGGGTCTCAGTATGATAAGAGAGGCTAGGGTCTCAGTATAAGAGAGTTCTAGGGTTTCAGTATGATAAGAGAGTTCTAGGGTTTCAGTATAAGAGAGTTCTAGGATTTCAGTATGATAAGAGAGTTTAAGAGAATAGGGTTTGACTACATTATCAGGAAAGGCATGGCAACTATAAGCTATTTTATAATCACGAGGAATTAATGACGTCGATATATATCGATAAGGAAGGAGAGAAGCTATTACTCAAATGCAACACAGGAAGTTTTTAATTTTATTACCGTAAACATCACTTTGGTTACATATATTTGTTGTGTTTAACTGCAATATAATGGAATATAATGTATTTCTACATTAGGGATATAAAAATGAATACTTGTACTTCTGACCACCATTAAAAATCAAAATTTCCTTTTCTTATTTCCAATCATTATGAGGAAACAAAGGTCACATACGACTGACATTTTGAGTTTTAAAATTCTAAGTTAATTTAACAAATATATCAAAGCATTGCGGTCAAAACAATGACGGTATGGCAGGAAGAACAGTGCGATTTTCAAACCGTGAAAAGACCAATGCGACACTTCGATCACTCGCACACATCAATGATGAAGTTGGCCAATATTCCGTGCACTTTTTTAAGGCGCCGGCAGTTCCATTACGATCGCTTTGTCCGCGCTGGTCGAGCGAACCTGTTTGAATATGCGTTGAAGAATGTGACTGTCTTCTGTAGTTCTCGTTGACACGCCGTGGAGTATAACACGTAATAACACGTAATTTTACACCATACATACCGTAAACCTCCGACTATAAGCCCTGGGCTTATATACTTTCGTAAGCGATTTTTGATGGGCTTATACAAGGGTGGGCTTATATACGGGGGGGCTTATACATGGACGATCTTTTGTGTTAGTAATAAACAAGTCAGACATAAACAAGAAAATAAACATGTATTAAGCAGCGATTACTGGGCTTATATTAATTCGGGGGACTTATATTCGATGGGCTTATATTCGGGGGGGCTTATATTTGGAATGAGGTGAGCGTTAGCACATGTGGTGGGCTTATACACGGGGGGCTTATATTCGGGGGGGGGGGCTTATAGTCGGAGGCTTACGGTATAAGATATACTTGTCTAAAAAAATACCTCAAAAATATCCGTCTACATGTAATAGGAAAACATTTCCCTTATCCTAAATCGTATGTTACATAATATACTTGATTACAATTTATGAGCTTTAAGATGTTTTCGTAATGAACTTGGATCGGTATATTGTTTAAAACAACCATCGACCTTGCAGCGATACGGCTTGCTCTCGATATGTGTTCGCGTGTGTTTAAATCTATCACTTGAGTTGGAATAACGTTTTTCACATCCTTCAAAAGGACAAACATAAGGTTTTTCTCCAGTGTGTGTTCTGCAATGTATCTTCAAGTTCTCTAGACGAGAAAATCTTTTATCACATCGTTCAAAATGACATGCATGTGGCCGCTCGCCTGTATGTGTTCTCAAATGTATTAAGAGTTTATATCTCGCATTGAATCCCTTGCCCCGTCTTACACAGTTCTTCCATTGACATGAATATTCACAACCTTCTTTACTTGCAAGTACATGATTATTGTTTATATGATCAACCAGTTCTTCTACAGTAAGAAACTGTTCCTCACAATCCTGCCATTGACATGAGTGCACCTGGGCTAGATGCCCATACAACGCTGAACCAGAAGTATTTTGATACAGTGGAACATTGCTGGGAGCTACCTGGATCAAATGATCATTTTCATGATAATAACTTGGAATCAACAATGTAGTTTGACTTGGCGAGCTAAGTAGAACTGATCCATTGTTGGTGAGATCATCATGTTCAGATTTAGGAAGTAATAAATCTGAAGGATTTACTTTGGAAATAATAGACATATTATCTGTTTTCGCTGATTCACCTACAGCTAGTATAGGTGTGTTATTAAATACGGATGTTAAGACAAGTGTGTTAGATTGTGATGATGGTGATGAATGGATGACAGTAGGATCATTAAATATTACTGCAGTAGAACACTGTACAAGATCTTCAGTATGCATGATATGACTTCCAGTCTGTACGATCCTATGTACTGTCAACTGAGGTGGTTCACTTGTACACTCTGGTGGTGTATGTTGCTCTGTAGTTCTGTGTTCGTGTATTGTACCACCATGTCCTCTAGTTCTGTGAACAGAACGCTCGGGTGCTGTTTCATGTTCGGTAGTTCTATGTACTGCCAATTCAGGTGCATCACTTCTATCCTCATGTTGTTCTGTAGTCTGGTGAACAATCAACTCGTCATCCTCTTGTGTTGTACAATGTTGTGTAGTCCTATGTACTGTCAACTCAGGTGTTTCATTTGTATTCTCAAGAGTTCCATGGACAGTCAACTCATCATGCTCATGTGTTGTATGATGTTCTGTAGTAATATCACGTAACTCTTTCTTCACTTCTTTCACCACATCAGAATACCCAGAATACTCCATCTCAGACTATCTGATCTAGAAATAAAGGGTACATTCATCAAGAATACTGCCATTTGCGTTCAAGCTTGAAGCGTGCAAATTTTTTCACGTTTGTTTATGTTTCAAACGCAACGTTCCGGGGGGTAATCACGCCCTTTCGACCAATGAATTGATCGTTTGAACCATGCAACCTTACGGTTATTATTCGTTACATAATATGTCGTGTTTTGTTTGAATTCCAGTGACGTTTGTACAATTTCATGCTGTAAATCCCTAAAATTCAGCTACAAAATGTAAATAATTGATTGAACAGTATTTAGAATCACGAGAATACAAGAATAAAAGTATATTCTTGCTGTCACAATCAATATTTTTATATTTTCAAACGATTCAATTTCATCGGCCAAACGTGCGTGATAACCTTTGAAACGTTGCTTTTGAAACGTAAACAAATGTGAAAAAATTTGCACGCTTCAAGCTTGAACGCAAATGGCAGTAATAGGAGTAATTGTAGAAGAGTTTTGTGGATGGTAATTTCTAGTGTGAATTTTACACATTTATGAGACCCAACAAGGAGAAGTTGCGAAAAATATTTTACTTTCTGGGACTGCAAGAAGTTCATTGAAACATTTTCTGTGAATAATCAAGTAAATTGATACTTGGACACTGTAACTGTGTGACACTAACAAGTTATTAAACTGAATGTCAAGCTAATTCTAGGGAAAACATTTTACTGCACTGAAAATCTTAATAATACTTTTAGGAATATATAAAAACATAAAACTAATCTAAATAATCAGGAGTCAGATCTCGAGGTCAATTTATAGAATGCCAAAAAGAGTACTAATGCGGGGGGGGGGGGGGGGGGCACTACTAGGGAGATCTGGGGGAATGCTCCCTGAAACAAATTGGAAATAAGGTGTCTCAGATTGATGTATTTATACACGGTACTTATATAATTTTGCATTTCTGAGGTCATACCTACAGTACAGGTTACATTAATTTTTCCTCTGAATTTTTCCTTTTATCTAAATTTTTACAATTATCTTTTTTTCTTCGTTGGGGAAATATTTTCTGGGAACTCAAAACAAAAAATTTTCTGGTTTCATTGGCCGATATTTTTTCCACCCTGAACCAGGAGAAGTTGCGAAAAATGCAACTATAGGCCTAGAGCTGTGCGCCAGAGCCGGAACTCCGGCATATTTTGCCGGAGTTGGAAAACTCTGGCAAAAACTCCGGCAGACAAAATTATGAAAAATTATTTCGTATTTCAATAAACTTTTGGTAATGGAAAAATTAAGTTGAATGATTTGAAGTTACTATAAAGTTTAATTACTTGCTTCGTTCTGATTTGTGGCTTCGAAAATTCTGCAAGCGCATTGCTATCACTTTTGATACAAAAATCCACTGACCCCGATGTACTTTGGGCGAAAATTATCCACTGACCCTGATGTATTTTGTTCGATTCCTGCAAGCGGCCTAATTGTGAAATGAAGATGAGAGTAGTCGGTAGACAAGCAAGAGTTTGAATGAGTTTTCACAATTTTCATGCGGTCAAATAAAACAATTACTTTAAAAAATCATCTCACAATTATTGTCAGGGAAATTATCACGATATTCGATAATATCGCGATAAATGAAATAAAAACAATGACCACATTTTTCAATTTTAGTTGATATCAAGCTGGATAGTAAGCTTATATATAATCCACTAAAAACAACAAATTAATGTAATAAGAAGGCTTTTTATAGTCTAATATTTACTGTTCATAAACCTAAACTGTCTATGCAGTGTCTACTGTGTCTCCGCTGGTTCGCCTGCAATTTCATTTCATTTTATGGTATTAAATTCGTATTTAATTCAGGAAATAGTTTTAATTCTTTTAAAAACTATAGTTTCTAGTGAAATTGAAAGAATTTATTTAGGATTTTATAAAAGCTATATACACATGCGAAGCAATATCACGATAGTCATCAAGCATGACGATAATTTCGATATACTATATTAATAACAGTCATTTGGTTCAAATTGCCCCAACTCAGGGCCAAAATGCTTTTCAAAATCCCCAGGGTGGGGATGCAATTGATGATCAAATACCCCACATATGCCCCCCCCCCCTCTGGGGGTTAACATTGATAGGTGCATAATTGCATCCACTTGCCCGCTGACACAAAGGGCGCTTTCCATTAACACAGTCAGACCAGTCAGAACGGTCAAATTGTTGAATAGAACACAAAACATTTGGGCTTCAGACCTATCTCAATCTGACTGGTACCCTGGAACCAGAGGGTATTTATTTTCGCCTGTTTTGAATAACCCTCTGGTGAAATTGGCGTAGTTTTTGGGTTCACATTCCACACATAACTTTCAAAAATGGAAGCAAAGAGTTGATTGGCTGCTGACATAAGTTCGATAGACTACGTGTTCTGATTGGATATTGTAAACATCATAGCCTGTTCGCAGGCATTTCGTGTTTTGATTGAATTGGAACATTTGAATTTTGAAATGTCTATATTATTAAATAAACGAACAAAAGTTGAAAGAAGCAGTTTTACAGGCTGCATTAATAGATAGATTGATAAATTTCCTGAATTAAAAGTTTAACGGAGCATCAATACCGCGCCTTGTCCAATTTGATTCACATTAAAGATGTATTTGCATCTTGCTATCGGTTATGGGAAGAGTTTAATATTCCAAAGTTCTAACACCGAGAGTAGCACGACGACTTGACAAAAGCCACAATTTTCTGGAGAAACCCATCTTAATAGTCATTTGCAAATTGAACTCTTTCATTGACTCTCACGTCCGTAAACTAAGAAAGCGTGGATGCCGTGTTACTTCACTGTCAAACGAAGAGGACGAGAAAGCAATACTAGATGGAGAGTTTACATTCGCATTTTGTAATCCCGAGTCTATTATTCGAAATGCGAAATGGAGAGGAATGGTTTCATTTGAAATCTACAAGACAAATTTGCTTGCTTTTGTATTAAATTAACAGACAAATTTCATGTCGGCCCAAAGAGGTGTGTTTAATAAATTTATAAAATACAGATTTTTTTGAATGTATATTGCAAGATTAAAGTGAATGAATATAAATATATATTTATATTAAATTGAATAGATGTGATGTTTTAAATTGAATGAAATTCAGGAGAATGAATATTGCTACAAATGGGCAGGCATACACTGGACAGTAAACATGCGATATTAAAAACCCTGTCTAGACGGCCTGGCGTCAAGGATAATGATTGGATAATATTTTTAGAATATGATGCATTAAGCCATTATACATTTTTTGCATTCTTTATCCGAACCAGGAATCGCTAACAAATTCACCAGAGGTTTTTCCTATTTCTTCGCACGTTTTCTCGCATTTCGCGTTCGCCAAACCTAAAAAAACCTCTGGGCCAGGGTATCTGACTGGAAAATTTAGATAACATTTGAATGAGGTCCATTTTCGCTAGCTATTTGAGAAACATGGACCAGATCTTTCCATTGATACAGAGAAAAACAATTTGGGTCTGACCGGTCAGGCCATTAAATGGAAAACGCCCAAAGATGGCACATGAACAGGGGGTGCACCGCAGATGCGCAGCGGCTACAAGATATGTGTGTTTCGGACACAGTGTTCAATAGGTTATTTCTTGCCAGTAACATACTTGAAAGTATATTCAGACTAATCATTACATACACTTGCAATCAAACATTACTATTTGCTAGATATTCAACTAAAAACGTTTCTGTTTATAGTTTCAAAATTTTAAATTTTATACAGCATATTAAAACTCCCCAAAATAAACTGTTGTGGCACTATATGTAAATCTATAAAATTACAATCAATTAAATGAGAGTTTCTACTTATAAGTAATCTTCATACATACCTACTGGTATTCTACTGTAATCAGAAACACAAATGATAGAAAAATCTTGCTATCCATAAGACAATAAAACGCAATAAATATTGTTGACTTGCAATAAAATTGTGATGTAGAAAACTCCAGAAATATTCACGGCTTTGTAACCACGCCATAAAACTGCGTAGTCCTGGGAAGAGTAGACTGCGGCGTCTTTTATTTCGCTTTTTGCGGCATTTTTGTCCTTTGGTTTTCCGCTATATTGGTTCAATCAGCGTTTTGAAAGAAACGTCTTTTAAATTAACGTTTTGATAGAATGAATGGCAGCGTCGAGCCGTCGATCAGCAGTCAAAAACAATTATGTTTTGCCGCCAACATGACAATCAATGGAAGACATAATGCCAGTCGTTAATTATCAAAATTTTGCGGAATGCGGATTGCTGGTTTGAGGGTCACCCAGTGCCTTTTTTAACTATATATCTGGGGGGGGGGGGGGGGCAATTCCCCCAGAGAAAGAATTTGCCCCCCCCCCAGTAAAGCCATTTCTGCCCCCGAAGTGCGAAGCAGAATTGCTCATGATTGCTGTCAGAATTGCAGTTGATTTACTTCATAATGAGATTATGCCCTTCCATAGCCTCCTCCACAGCCATCTTGTGTGTAATTCATATTGTTCTTCACCGAGTATTTCATAATAGCGATAGATTTCATGCAAACAATCCGATAAAATGCTTTTTTCTTAAAAGTATTATGTTATATTAAGAGCCCCCGCCCCCCAATCGCCACAAAAACCATTCTCTCAGAAAGGCTAAATCCGTAGAGAAATTGGAGGGGGGGGGGGGGGGGG